AGCGATGCAGCCGCCGGGGTTGGGGAAGGGGCGGGTGGGAATAGACGTGCCGGCAATCCATCGCTCGCCAACCAGTCAGCTAGCCTGGGAGACACCCGGCTAAGGCCGGTGAGCAGCAGGCTGGAAGAAGGCAGCCGCCCGGGGTGGGGAGGAGGAGAGGGAAGGGGCGCGCCAGCCTAACGCCGCTCGCCAGCTAGCCCGGGAGATACCCGCACAAGGCCGGCGAGCAGCGGGCTGGAAGAAGGTGTGGGTGGGGAGGAGGAGAGGGAAGGGGCGCGCCAGCCACCGTCAGTGAACCAACCCCGCACTCCCGGTCTCCTTGGCGGGCGAGGAGGGGGTCTCTGGTGCACTGCCCCCCCCGTCCAGCCACTGCCACCCTGATCCCGGTCCCCGGCGGGCACCTCCTCCTTTGCAGCACCTCCCGCTGCAACTGCTCTCTGGCTCGCCATCCCAGGGGGTGCTGTGCGCAGGGATCGGGTCCAGGCCCTTCACCCCTCCTTCCCTCCCTCCTCCAGAGGCACCGATCTGCAGTTTGCTTTGCCATGATCCATTCCCCAAGCAGGGAACCGATCATCGCAAAGCGAAATTCCCCCATAGGGAACATCGGAAAGCGATCACAAAAGCGATCGCAAAATTTTCATCGCAAAGCGATTTCATCGTTATATGATGCAATCGCTATGCGAGGCACCACTGTACTCTATGACTGAAATCCAGTTGCTGCAACTCGGCAGCATAAATGTGAATGAAGTTATCACCCTGTGCGTTTACTTTTTTAGTTTAATTAAATTTGAAACTTCCTTACCCCCCCCCCTTCAGATTCTGAGGCTTTCCAGGGCTCCCTGTTGCTTGGGAAAAGCTTTGGGGACCTTGGAATGTTGAAGAAGGGGCAGCCTTTAAATAAAAAAAAAACTCAGCTGCAGCAGTTGTGCAATATTAAAAGCTTCTCCCCATATCCCAAGGGTGCTGAAGGGCAAAAAGGGAGCCTTGGAACTTAAGGTAAGCTGGAAGGGAGGGGAAGTGTGTGGGTGTGTATTTATTCAATATGTATTTCTGCTTTTTGTCTCTGACAAATTGGATTTGAGCACTCAAAGTGCACATTAAATAACTTCAATAGTCTTTTAAGTGCCATATTTTGCCTTTTTCTCATTTCTTTTTAATTCTTGCCAAGACGCTGAGACAATCTAATATACTTTTTTCAAAACCATTGCTAAATATGGAATCCTAATTCAAGATCCCATGCAATTCTTCTGTCCTACCTAGGACCCAAAGCAACGTGGATGTAATTTTTATTCCTGGTTATCATTTTATCGAGTACTGTCTAGAAAGTGCCAAGTGGGTGGCATTTTATAGAAAGTTCAATTCATTTGTTAAATCAGTAGTCACAGAATTCCAGACAACACTGCATCTTCTCAATGTGTTGGACTACAAATCCTCCCTATTACCAACTGGACTGAGGGGGGATTGTAACTCAAGGCATCTGCGAAGAAAGTAACTTTGTTCAGTTGCGTTTATCACAGTAATTTCTACATGCAAAAAACAGAATTGGACACTTGAGAGAATTCAGTGAGTGTTTTCAGGAAATTTTCAAAGGCTGCACCAGTAAACAGGCAAGCAGCAGATTGAAATAATTTTGCAGACAAGTGTTATTTGCCACTGATCCAAAGTAGAAAGCACAGAAACTATTATTCGCGAAGTCTTTCACGGCCGGGATCTAATGGTTGTTCTGGGTTTTTCGGGCTCTTTGGCCGTGTTCTGAAGGTTGTTCTTCCTGATTATCAGGAACCACACAACATATTACTTTTAACATTCTGCTTGTAGCCATAGCAACAAGGCATTCCAGATAGGCAAGCTGACAGAATTCTTGGCAGGTTTGCAGGCAGGCTAAGCAGAAGACAGATGGAGTTCTTCATCCTTCCACCATGGTCAGTTTGGAAGTGAACTTAGCTGTGAGAGCAGGGAATCCCATTCCTTCATTTGCAACACAGAAATGCAGGGAGATACTACAAATTAGATGGAACTCTTTACTTCTTTGCCATGCAACACAGCAAAACCAGGAAAAAAATGTGTGTGATAAAAAGTTTTATGGATTATTTGCCTAGGATTATTTAAAAGGCTTTCAAAGGGGCCATGAAATTTAAAACAATTACAGCTATTGTTAGATTCCCCTGCCATTGTATCAATTACAGCCATCCACTTTGAAATGTACAGTACTATGTTCTTTCTTGTTTTTAATTTTAATAAACACAATATCTTGTTTTCTGATTAACTCGGTAAAGAGAAACCACAAAAAAATCAGGTGAGGTCAAACAAGCAGAACTCTGATCTCCCAACTTGGGAAAAATAATCCAGAAAATTTGAGTCTATGGGGTGCAGTTTATGAGGTGCAAAAGTGTTGCCTTAAAAATTAAAAAAATATTTTAAAACATGCTAGGAGATTGCTGAGAAAAGTGAAAGTATAAGTGGAAAAGTGGTCCATGAAGATATTTTATATTACAAAGCCAAAAACGCTTCACTTGTTTTAAAACAAGGCTATTGATGACATAAAAAAAGTATTTATTCAAAATAGTTTATTCAATTTTGTGTCAGTTTTCACGAGAAAGAGTAAACTATGACACAATTATGTCATGTGAAACAGAGAGAAAAAAGTGAAGTGCATTTCAAAATGCCGAGTGTGTAATGTTTTACCTAAAATGTTAATTAACAAAGAGATGCTATAAAATACACAGGAAAACTGTGTTAGGCAAAGGAGAATAAACATAAAGGCTTCAGCCACAAACCTGTAGTAAGTGTTTTAAAACGGGGTATAACTATATGTTATCCTGTAACACTAACTCTTGGCACTAAAATGACCTACATCTCCTGGAGCTATCCTAGCAAACTGGTCTTGTTATACTTGCAATTGACAGAAGATTAGGAATGTTTCCACAATGATAAACTCTAGTAACAATAAGCTCTAATACCAGATTGCTTTCATAGCAATGTCATCGGATAGCAATGTCCTTGTCAATAAGTTTGGTTTGGTTCGGTCAGAAATACAGGATGAAATCTATTTCTTCACCCTCTCCAGTCTCTGTAATGTCCAGCCTGAAGATAATGATGAGTACTGCAAGACTCAAATGTGTCTGTTTGTGAGATTTTGCTGGTCTAATAAAAGTATCAACCAACCTTTTTTCAGATTGAATATATGGACCACAAAGCTTTTTTTTCTTTTTTGTTAGACAATGCACAGGATAGTTCCAGTTTTTTAAAACTCCAGACAACAAAGCAACAGCTTTTGAAATTTTGCACAAACACACAAGTACTAATTGGAGCCAAAAGAAAAAGTCTTGCTCTCTTTCTGGTGGCAGAAAAAGGTTGTGGTTCCTTTTTAGCAGGTACAACAAATCAGGATTTACATCCATAGTCTACAGCCTAGGTTCCCAACCTTTGTTACTCGGATGTTTTTGAACTGCAACTCCCAGAAACCCCAGCCATTACAGTTGGTGGTGAAGGCTTCTGGGAGTTGTAGTCCACAACTCCTGAGTAAGCCAAGGTTGAGAACCAGTGATCTAGAGTTATGACAGTTTTCAGACAACCACATGAAATAAAATCCTAAGCTTGCAAACTAACAACCACATTTCAAAGAATTAGCTATTAAGGATAGCCAATGTAAAAGCTATCAAACCTATAGTTATCAAAGAGAAAAACATATCCGCACCCAAAAAGGAATGTTAAATGCTTACTAGGATTTATGACATCAGCAATCTGGAAGTCACTGACACGGCAGATTGGGAAAAATCGCTCCCTGCCAAAGTTGTAGAAAACATTACACATTCCGTAATTATACTTACAGTACTCTGATTTAGCAGTTACACATCCAAGTTTTATCTATGTAAGAAAAATGTAGACCCTGCTCTTTTGTTGTTATCAAAACTGAGCAAGGTAGGTTCTAACAAATTTTAAAAAATTACAAAGTAAACTGAAAACAAGAGCCAAGCACACCAGAAGAACAGCCTGAGAAGGAGGCTTCAATCCATTATAACTCCTCAACAGCCAAATGCCCTTTGGGAAAAAATTATTAGCATGTCAAGTTGTAGGCTATCAAATGAATCTCCTAAAGCACAATTCCATAGTCCAGGCATGGCTACAATATGCATGTGCATCTCATTTTAATGAACACAGGACTTCTGAAAATACAAGTCTTTTTAATTCATTCGCCAACCCATTCCCCAAATGGCATTTTCCCATACTTTATTTGTCAATTAAAATCTGTGGGCACTGAAGATGCTGCCAAGAAATCTCTAATAACATTACCAAATAAAATTATATGTCACCCAAATTTTAAAAATTATTATAAATTGGAAAAACATGATTGGCAGCTCTCTTTATGACTTAAGGTTCCCTCCAAGGTGCGTGCCCGCACCTATACGGGCAATTCTGCCTCCCTCTGTGCCAGGCCCCTCCTCCTCCTCTACAACAATAGTTTTCAGCTGCTTTGGCTTTGGTTGCAACAGAACTCCATGGGAAGTCGCACACATGCAGGGCTGAAAATTAGAGGGAGCATTGGACTTATTCTAGAACTAAGCATTCAGTGCCTTGCTAGAGTAAAACCCTCCTGATTTTAGTAAAATAAGCTGAATTTTTTTTTCTGACTACACAAAAATTCCATCACCAACCAAATTCAGAAAGAAAATTCCTAGATTAATGTATACAGCAGAATTTCAGGGTACTCACATATTAATAAATAGATTCCCTATAGGTAGGAAGCCTTCAAAAATCTGGGGATATGCAGTTTCAAATGTCACTGGCATCTGGAAATACATCAAGACCAATATGTACTATCCAAACACACATTCTTCCTTCCTTAAATTATTTAGATGTAAGCAAAGACTCATTGGCTGAAATCCTGTTGCTTAGAGTACTAAACTGAACTAAGAATAGGCCCACTTAATCAGTGAGGATTTGGTGAGTCAACTTCTGTTAATTCAAATGGGCCTACTCTAAGGAACATAACTCCTTCAGATTATTTCTCCCCACCCAGACTGAACATTAACTATTCCCAGATGAGTAATTATTTATTTATTTGACTTATATACTGCCCATCTTAGAACATGTCTACTCTGGGAAGTTTACACAAAAACACAGATATAGTAAATGAAAACAAATACATTAAAAGATGGGGCCCAATTTTACTACAGGAGTCCAAGATGACAAAAATAAATAAATAAATGCTAAGTAATGGCTGTTGTAGAGCCAGGTCTTTACATTAGCCAATTGCAACAGGCACAGTTGCAACCTATCTTAGGCAAGGATTTCAGCCACTATCTAGTCTTACCCATACCCTACTGTAATACTTACCATGTAAAAGTGTTCTAGACGGATTCCGTACACTCTTTGTAAAGTTCTCATGAAGATCATATGCAATACTTCAGGCTAAAGAACAAATAAACAAACACTTGTTTCTTAACAGAAAACATGCTAAGCTTACATGTTACTTATCTCTCAGGGCTGATTTAGTTTACTTAACTTTAAACATAGCCAGAGCTTCGAGTTAGAGGGGAAAAAACCATGGGAGAGGCGGGGAAAGCGCTAAGTTTGAACTTTCTGTTAATCGTTGGCCAGCAAAGAGGCTGCTTGTCTGCTACCTC